AAAGTTTTAAAAGTTTAAAAGTTTTAAAAGTTTAGTTTTAGTGTGTTCAATAAATGTTTATCCTGTTTGGCCCGCCACCTAAAGTGTGTTTTGGATTTTGGCCCCCTGTGCAATTGAGTTTGACACCCCTGCTCTAGAGTATCTATTTGTCTATGTTGTCACCAGGAGTTATAAACGACTTGATAGTACATAATCAATCTAGAATAAAGCTCAAGAATAATGGGAAATTATTCTAGAATTTCAAAAATAATTTCACAGTCATTATGGTCAAGCACGCTAAAGAAAATTCATACTGAACATTTTGGCAGAACCTGAAAGGGATACATGACTTGGGTACATACCCAAATAGGGAAAAAATGGAATGTTCAGTGCACTTAACAAGCCATAAAAACAAGTTGGGATTGATCTGTTCACATGAGAATTTTGGACTATTATAGCTGGTATCCAGTTCCGTGATCTGGTAACTATATCCAGAGAGCAAGCACAACAATGAAAGTTACCATATAGTTTCTATAAAAAAATTCCAAATATAACTAGACAATAGTATCTAAAAAGGAGATAAAATCAAGAAAAAAAATCTATAAATTGTACTTTTGCTGGAAAGGTATTGATAATGAAAGGAGATATGTACAATATCATTGTATCACTCAATGAGGATATTATGGTATGATACAATATCACTTAAACTACTCAAGAACAGAGATTTTGTAAGAGTTCAGTTTCAAGATGAACATGGTAAACAAGTGACAGTAATGGATAATAAAAGAATGTTACATTCAAACATAACAAAAAACTTGTAAAACATAACACATGGTAATTTTCAGTAGGATTCACAACATGAAAAATTAAAGGAATCTGAACTAATAAGTGTTCATAATGAATTAAAGGAAAGAAAGAAAAAATACCACCAGCACCAATAAAACTACCAAAGGGAAATATGCCCAAAGATCAGGAACAGAATTAAACGTGGCCCAACAGTATGCAGATCAATGACAGTATTCCAAGTGTGGTCAATTTAAAGTCAAAGATTTGAAATGTATCAACATGAAAAAAGCAATAAAACTATACAATTTATTTTTAGGTAAGACATCATGGTAATCTGTTTAAAAATGTATAATATTTAAATAGAGAGGGGAATGCATTCTCTCATGCTACAATATGACCAATTAAGTCCACTCTATACTATTATAAAGAATGTAGCATGAGGCTGAATAAAAATTGTTGCTATTATACTGTACAGACAAAATAGTGTCATGTTGTGCAATATATTACTGAGTGGACTTGAAGCTCTACTGTTGTCCTCTCTATGCCTAAAGGGAAGAAATTGCATCCTCATTGACTCTATATGTTGTGTCAGTGTTGGTGCTAAAATGTTTGCTCTATCTTTAATTATCTATGGTTAGCATTTGGATTACTTAGGGTGGCATATGATGGAGATTAATATCCTAGAAGAATGTAACAGCAATCACTTCAGTATTGTTTCTATGAAACTACATGGATGTGCCCATGTAGCTCAACTAAATTTTTATATAATTAACGCACATGAGAATACACATTCCCATTCAACTTTGTCTAAACCAAATCCACAACAAGTCAGAGATATGGAAAGAAGACTTCATCAATAATAAAGATAACCTGTTCTTTACTACTTCTAACTTACCATTAAAAAAATAAAATAAGAATTTGGTAGCAAGGCTACAAAATTCTACATTCATATGTATGCACAGTTCTGATTTCTACAGTACATGAAAATCAGTGTGCTAATTGAAAATTATATTTTTAAAATGTATTTGAAAGAGGAAATGCACCCACTCTTGATGCACTATGGGAGACTGACAGTTTTATTAATGAAGAAAGCTTATATAATTAAAAGTAAGAGTTAGGAATATTAATCAATAACATCTATAAAACTTTTCACATTATCTTTTCCTGAGTCTAAAGTAGAATGGCTCAAAATTACTCACTACAATATAAAATTCACTGTTAGAGCTATGATTAATAATGAATAAGATACAAGAAATTTACAGTGTAATTTAGATATTTATTCAGTATTCAATATTACCTCTCAGGATTTTATGTATGCATAATTTCACTATGAACAGCAACATTAAATTGATTGTTCTGTTTGGAAAGTAAATTAATGCTGAGCTCCATTAATTACAGGGCAATTATTGAACTAGTTAGTGCATATCCA